TGCCAAGTTGTACATTTTTATAATTTTGGTGTTCATTTCATGAACACTTTGCTTCCGCATAGAAATAATAATAATTGAAATACACTACCGTCCAAAAGTATCAGGACGATTACATTCGACTCTATAAAAAAACATGCCATCACTTTTTCAATCATATCTCGGAAATAAAAGGAGATACAAGAAAGAATTAAATACGGTTAGAAAGCTGATTAAATTTTGCGTAAAATAAGCCGCCTTTAAAGTCATTTCGATAATTATTTTTTGAGTTGTAGAGTGAGAAAGAAATAAAAAAATTATCAAATTTTCTAATTTTTGTCTCTTGACTTCAACTTTTTCAAAAATCTAGAAAAATTTAGATAAAATTTTTCTAAAAACACAGAAATCTTCGTTAGAATTTCAGCTTTAAAATAAGCCTTCGAAAATTAAAAAAGGTTAATCCGTCTCCGATATATCATTAAAAATGTGAAGCCGTATTTCGACCGATTGGTGCATTGAAATTCAACTGCGACGACTCGGTTCTATGGCTTCGCGCGGCAGCGAATGAGAGAGAAAACAGGAACGAATTCATGCGGGGCAACGATGAACTTTTGAGTTTCTTTATATTACTCGTCAAACATCATTATTCATTATTCTCCAGCAAAAATTCGTCCCGGTTTTCTCTCCCATTCGCAGCTACGCGAAGCTAGAATCGAGTCATCACTGTTGAATTTCAATGCACCAATCGGTCGAAACACGGCTTCACATTTTTAATGATATATCGAAAACGGATTAACCTTTTTTAATTTTCAAAGGCTTATTTTAAAGCTGAAATTCTAACAAAGATTTCTGTATTTTTAAAAAACATTTATCTAAATTTTCTTAGATTTTTGAAAAAGTTTAAGTCAAGAGACAAAAATGAGAAATTTTGATAATTTTTTTTATTTCTTTCTCACTCTACAACTCAAAAAATAATTATCGAAATGACTTTAAAGACAGCTTATTTTACGCAAAATTTAATCAGCTTTCTAACCGTATTTAATTCTTTCTTTTATCTCCTTTTATTTCCGAGATATGATTGAAAAAGTGATGGCATGTTTTTTCATAGAGTCGAATGTAATCGTCCTGATACTTTTGGACGGTAGTGTATAAGAATTACTATTTATAAAAGGGTTAAAAATAATTAAATCTTGGTCCAAAAAATGTGTTTTTATATATTCTATAAGATGGTAATAATAGTTTAATAATTACACATAAGTTAATAAACAAGAATGTTGAAAAAATGATATTTTCCACAATTTTTGATTTTTCAAATACAAATAATTTCATAATTTCTGCCCGAATCAGGTTAAAAAATAGGTCAATCTAAGCGTTTTTAATGCTCTTCAAGTTGGTAATAATTTTTTTAAGTTACTTTTACATAATTTAAAAAAATTTTTTAAAAAATCTTATTTTTAAAATTTTAGATTTTTAAAATTTTTATATCTCCGGCTAATATGGACAAAAAATGTTCAATGAAAGCTCAGAAGATGCGTCTGAAAAAACTCTACAAAACTAAAGAAAAACATTTATAGGTGTCGTAACAAAATTTTCAAAAAAAATTATTTTCCAAAATTTTTGATTTTTAAAAGTTTAATATCTTCGGTTAATATGGACAAAAAATGTTTAATTAGAACTCAAAAGATGCGTCTGAAAAAACTCTACAAAACTAAATACAAAACAAAACTAAACTTCTACATTTTTCAACAAAATTTTCAAAAAAGTCTTATTTTCCAAAATTTTTTATTTTTAAAAGTTTAATATTTCCGGTTAACATGAACGAAAAATGTTCAATTAGGGCTCAAAAGATGAGTCTGAAAAAACTCTACAAAACTAAAGAAAAACATTTATAGGTGTCTTAACATTTTTTTAAGTTATGGCCAAAAAACGTTTTTTTACAAAAAGAAAAATGCAAAAAAAATATAGTTAAACTTTATGAATCGGGCTGAAAATACTCTCATTTTATGTCCCCCGGGGAGACCTGCAATTTAAAAAAAAATTGAGGCCTTTAGCTCTTTCTCGTTCTGAGATATTGAGGCAAATGTAATGTTAGTACACACACACACACACACACACACACACACACACACACACACACACATCGGGACAAATTTTTAAAATCCGTTTTTTGGACATCGCCCACATAGCACAATATCTTGCTGTAAGTTTGTGGTGTGGATTACACGTATAGTTTGTAAGGATAGGGTTGTATACTATTGTGGTAAACTTAAGGTAAACTTTAAATTTTCGCCATTACGGTAAGCTTACAAGTAAAGGTTATTGTAAGCTTACATGTAAAGGTTACTGTAAGCTTACAAGTAAAGGTTACTGTAAGCTTACAAGCAAACTTTACTGTAAGCTTACAAGAAAAGTTTATTGTAAGCTTACAAGTAAAGGTTACTGTAAGCTTACAAGTAAAGGTTGTTGTAAGCTTACAAGTAAAGGTTATTGTAAGCTTAAATGGTAAGGTTGTGGTAAGGTTACTATAAAGTTGTAAGGTTGAGGTAAGGTTGTGGTAAGTTTACTAAATAAGGTAAATCTTTACAAAATAATTTATAATATAATTAAAAAATAAATAAAAAATTTTTTAAAAAAATTTTTGGTCTTGTTCCATTTTGGAAATCTAACAAGCCGGTGAAAATCTTGAAAACAAATTTGGGAGGACTGGGATTCGAACCCGGGATCGACGCGCATAAACCTAACATCCTAACTAACTGAGCTAAGTAGGGAACTGACAAAGAAAAAATACATTTTGCTTTTAAAGAGTTAGTCATCTTCTTGGTTCACCTAAAAAGCAATATTGATTTTTTCTTTGTCAGTTCCCCACTTAGCTCAGTTAGTTAGGATGTTAGGTTTATGCGCGTCGATCCCGGGTTCGAATCCCAGTCCTCCCAAATTTGTTTTCAAGATTTTCAACGGCTTGTTAGATTTCCAAAATAGAGCAAGACCAAAAATTTTTTTAAAAAATTTTGTTATTTAGTTTTTAATTATATTATAAATTATTTTGTAAAGATTTACCTTATTTAGTAAACTTACCACAACCTTACCTCAACCTTACAACTTTATAGTAACCTTACCACAACCTTACCATTTAAGCTTACAATAACCTTTACTTGTAAGCTTACAACAACCTTTACTTGTAAGCTTACAACAACCTTTACTTGTAAACTTACAATAACCTTTACTTGTAAGCTTACAACAATCTTTACTTGTAAGCTTACAACAATCTTTACTTGTAAGCTTACAATAACCTTTTCTTGTAAGCTTACAATAACCTTTTCTGGTAAGCTTACAGTAAAGTTTGCTTGTAAGCTTACAGTAACCTTTACTTGTAAGCTTACAGTAACCTTTACATGTAAGCTTACAATAACGTTTACTTGTAAGCTTACCGTAATGGCGGAAATTTAAAGTTTACCTTCAGTTTACCACAAGTATACAACCCTATCCTTACAAACTATACGTATAATCCACACCACAAACTTACAGTAAGATATTGTGCTATGTGGGCGGAGGTCAAAATACGTCGAAAATTTTTTTTATTTATTTAGAACATTTATACCAGTGCCCATTCGTATATAAAGTACTAAAAGATTAGGTATAATAAAAAAAAATTTATAAATATGTCAAAAAATCGCAATCGAAAATTTTGCTAATACAATCCTTCCTCTATGAGGAAGCAATATGAAATTTTGTAATTGGGAACGTTCGCAAATGATGTCACGTTTTTGGAGGTAGGGGAGGGGTCTCTACTAAACGTGATACAATGTATTTTTTACATGTGAAATTGCATAAAATTGCGTGACAGGGGGGTTAAAAATCTCAAAAAATTGCGTAACATTTGCTAGTATTTTAAAACTTAAATAGTTGATATCGACAAATTATCAGTTAAACTTACTTTTTAAGTTATGTAAAAATAACTAAAAGTTTTGGTAATTAATTCAATTAGTCAAATTTGACTATTTCCGTAGTCCTTCTATTTACTAATTTACTTATTATTAACTTAAAGTAAACCAGACAGTAGTCGGACACTTAATAATTTTTAGTGGTATTATTACCCAAGGAGCACGTAAGTTTATCTTGACATCACTGTAATATTACATTGGAGATTCGTTATATTACACTGTAATATTACAGTGATCTTACTGGGATATCAAAATGTCCGCCTGGAGGTAATATTACGTTGTTACATCAAGAGAATATTACCTGGTAATATTAAGGTAATATTACACTGTAATATTAACGTAATGTTAAGGTAATATTCAGATAAAATTAGAATAATTTTATAATTTAGAAAAAAACATTTCACAAAGTTGGACTCGAACCCAGAACCATGTGCATAGTAATCATGAGTCTTACCACTGAGCCAAACTTACTTGTAGTGTATTAAGATTCTCGACGGTATATAATCTTTGTAAGTTTTTTAAAGTTCTTCATATTTTATCAAAAATCTTAATACACTACAAGTAAGTTTGGCTCAGTGGTAAGACTCTTGATTACTGTGCGCAAGGTTCAGGGTTCAAGTCCAGCTTTGTGAAATGTTTTTTTCTAAATTATAAAATTATTCTAATTTTATCTGAATATTACCTTAACATTACGTTAATATTACCTTAGTATTACCAGGTAATATTCTCTTGATATAACAACGTAATATTACCTCCAGGGGGACATTTTGATATCTCAGTAAGATCACTGTAATACTACAGTGTAATATAACGAATCTCCAATGTAATATTACAGTGATGTCAAGATAAGCTTACGTGCTCCTTGGGTACTAAAATTTTTGAATAAAATATAAATTTCTTGATAGTATCTGGTGAGTTAGTAATTTACATTTTATTAAATAATTTCAGCAATTACCACTCCAAGTTGTTAAGTGGTCGACTATTCTGTATACTTTACTTCAGTTACCTAATGTACTTATAAACTTTTCTCTAAATTGGATAACTTGTATTTTTTGAGAAGAAAATTTGAATATCACAACTTACTGTTATTAAGTTGTCAGAAATATTCAAAAACTTCAGCTCGTCCAAATGTCTCAATGCATCAGTAGGGAACTCTTGGAGAAAGTTTACAGCTAGGTCAAGTTCCCGTAGATTGTACGCTCCTGCAAAAAAATAATATTAAATGTTATATGTTACACAGGAAAAAAAAGTCTGACTCCGTTTACACCTTAAATTCAGCCCATGTATTTCACATAAGTCTGTCCTTGTTTAATGGGGCTGACTCCGTTTACACCTTAAATTCAGCCTCGAAAACAGGCTAAAAGTAAAACTTTTTTTTTAGTGTGTATTGCAACTGTTTTCATCAAGATTCACAAAAAAGAAATTTTTGCAAAGCGCGATTAAGAATAAAAATTGTTTACAAGGATAAATATTTATCTTAATTTACAAAGTAATTCCTAAAAAATTACACAAAATATAATTTAATTTTTCAATAAAATATTTTTAAAAACATTTCTTGTAACCAATTGATAAATAATTAATATTAATTACTATTTAGTCAAAAAATTGAAAAAACTTTTTTACTTTTAAAAAAAGAATACAAATGTTACGTCCTATGGACTAAACATAGTTATTTTAAATTCAATTTATTAAATAAATGAATATTTAATAAATGGAATTATGTGTGTGATTTGAACCTAAGCTCTCGCTTAATAGTTCGGGACACTTTCGAGTTTTATTTTGTTTTGAAATGAAATTTTAGGATTTTTGGATTTTAATTTATAAGGAATGAAACCAAATCATCGAACACTCAGAAAAGTAAGATGACAGGGTTCGATAACATAGGTAACAATTTCAGGAGTCAAAAATAGTTTTAAAAAGGTATTAAAATTTTATAGTTCTCAGTCATAGAACCTGGGTTTGGGAATTGGGACAAGATTTGAGAAAGTTAAGAAGAGAAAGATGAACTTAATAAGAATATTTTTGAATTTGTACTCACTTTTTATTTATAGTTTATGAATAAAATCGTTGCCTTCAAAAACGTGAAATAATTTGGTATTTTTGTAATATCGATTATTAATAATCGATTTAAATGTATCGACGTATCGATATATCAATTTATGATTTCGATATATTTGTGAAATTATTTGAATTTAATAATAAAATTGACACTTGTATTAAAACACTTATAACTTTTTTAAATAGAATTGAACTTGGAAGTTTAAAATTGAATTTTAGTATTGAAAACTGAGACTGAACACTGTATGAATGTTTAAGATTGAACTGAATACTGAGAGTGAATGATTTTATAACTGACTTGTCTCTAGTTGTCTTGTAAGGATACTGTTTGACATCCCATTCTCTTGGGGATGCTGTTTTTTAATAGTTTGTCCCCACTAGGATTTTAGGGAGTTTTTAGATTTTTGGAAAATATTTTTAGGGAGATGGAAAAAGAGGCTGACTAATTATCAGATTGGTAAAAAGATTTGATTTTGTCGTTTCGGAATTGGGTCTTCGAGACCCATCCCACTTATGTAGGTTGTGTCTTAAAGGGACGTACCCTAGGTCAGGCTGGAGTCCCATGGTAGCGTTTTGCGTTGCGTTTTGTAACTAGGCAATAAGTGCAAATAGAGCAAACCTATATCTGTATCTCTCTCACACTCATGGCCTAGTTACAAAACGCAACACAAAACGCTACCATGGGACTCCAGCCTGAGGGTGGAGTCCCATGGCAGCGTTTTGCGTTGCGTTTTGTAACTAGGCAATGAGTGCAAATATAGCGAACCTATATCTTCATCTCTCTCACACTCATGGCCTAGTTACAAAACGCAACGCAAAACGGTGCCATGGGACTGTACCCTCAGTGTCTTTCTAAAATAGTAGGGATATTATTTCACGTTTTTGAGATTTTACAAAATATTGTTATAAACTAATTAATAATAATTTTACAATATTTGTTATAGCGTGGTTTAATTGTTTATAATTTTTAAATGTATGTAGGTTTTTGAATTTTAATTTTATCGTAATTTTTAACGTAATTGACGCATTATTTAATTATTTATTTCGATTTTATGATCATTTATTTTTTATAAATTGTTATTAATAATTTGTGAATTATTATTGGTTTATTGTTTATAATTATTCTTTGTCGGTATTTATTTGTTATTAATTATTTTATAAACAATAAATATTTATTTATACGCATTATTAATAATATTAAAATATTAATTATTTATCGTTTTTATTTATTGTTTTATTTATTATTCATTTGCCCTGGCCCCGGTCGGGTTTTCATGATCTGGCCCCGACTTCGTGGCCCCGACCAGGACCAGGCCGGGCTTGCCCAAGGATCTACAAACAGCGCACAATGGGATTTTTTTTTAAATTTACTTTTCAAAACTGTCTACAGCCTACAATTCTTAACCGGTTTCAGTATTCTTTATTTTAAATTAAAGGCGAATAAATTCTTAAGACATCCCTCAAGGCCAATTTTTTAGTTCTTAATTGTTTATAATTTTTATTTTCAATCAAAGTTAACAAATTAATACAATTTTTTAAAAAAAGAGGCTTATTTTCTTATTCCGTTGCTGCATATGATCTGAATCAGTTCAAATTAATACAATATGACCACCACACAATCAATAAAACAGAAATCAATTTATATCAATTGTTATAAACAATATTAATTAACAAATAGTTAACTTTGATTTCTTTCCACTAAAAAATGTTTTTTTCACCTTTTCTTTTTAATTTAAGTTCATTTAAAGAATATTAGTCCTCTTTGATTAAAAAATAACTTATTTAAATTGTTATAAATAATATTAAATAACAAATAATTATGTAACTTATGTTCCTGTCCACCAAAAAAATTTTTTTTCACGTCTACTTTTTAATTTAAGTTAATTTTAAAAATATGTGTCCTTTTTGTTTAAAAAATAACTTATTTAAATTGTTACAAATAATATTAATTAACAAATAGTTAATTTTTGTTCCTTTCCACAAAAAATTTTTTTTTCACGTTTACTTTTTTATTTAGATAATGTTAAAAGACCACGGATATATAATATTAAATATTTAAATATAAGTTATATTATAAGCAAAAAAGACATATTATATTCTTTAAATGAACCTAAGTAAAAAAGAAAATTTGTAACAAAAATTTTTTGTTGGACAGGATCATAAGTTAACTATTTGTTAATTAATATTGTTTATAACAATTTAAATAAGTTATTTTTTAATCATAAAGGAAAAATATTCTACAAATAAAACTAAAATTAAAAAGAGAATGTGAAAAAAAAAATTTTTATTGGAGAGGAATCAAAGTTAACTATTTGTTAATTAATGTTGTTTATAATAATTGAAATATATTACTTTATGGATTTTTAATTGTCTGCTGGTAATATTGGATTAATTTGAACTGATTTAGAGCATGTGCAGTAACGGAATAAGAAAATAAACGTCCGTTTTTAAAAAATTGTGTTAATTTGTTAACTTTGATTGAAATTTGAAAATAAAAATTATAAACAATTAAAAACTCAAAAATTGGCCTCGAGGGATGTCTTAAGAATTTATTCTCCTTTAATTTAAAACAATAGGACAAACGCACCAATTGTCGAGGGTGAACCATTTGTCGATGTTATCATGAAGATAACCAAAAATACTGCCTAAAATGTTTAATTGAGGCCTTGGATCCAATAACTCGCCCGACGCTCGGAGGAACGCGCAACTGCCAGTCAGTGAGCAGTGAGCGCCTCTGGGCCACCCTACTAAAAATCCCTGTATAAGATCTTGTACAAGAAAATGCACACGTTCAGCAGCTGAACTTGTACAAGTTCTGGTAAGAACATGTACAATTTCTTGTACCAGGATTTGGAACAAGTTCTTGTATTAGAACTTGTACAAGAAAATGTACGAGTACTTGTACAAGATCTTGTACAAGTTCAAGTACAAGTTCAAGTACAAGTATTTGTACATGAACACGTTCATGTTCTTGCACAAGTATATTTATAAATAATTTTTTTTTAGAAAATTGGATCAAGTAAATTAATAAATAAATTTTTTTTTTAAAATTGGCATTTTAATAACTTATAAGCATTAAGACTCTCCACTTTAGGCAAGCCAAAAACTATTGCGCAGCTCTAAAAGCTTATAAAAACTACTGCGCAGCCTTTAATGTTTTTAATTTTTACAACTTAAAAATAATGTTTAAAGAAAATGTACAAGTACTTGCACATGAACTCGTACAAGATCTTGCACAAAATCTTGTACATTTTCTTGTACAAGTTTATTTTCTTGTACAAGTACTCGTACATTTTCTTGTACAAGTTCTAATACAAGAACTTGTTCCAAATCCTGGTACAAGAAATTGTACATGTTCTTACCAGAACTTGTACAAGTTCAGCTGCTGAACGTGTGCATTTTCTTGTACAAGATCTTATACAGGGATTTTTAGTAGGGCACTCACTGCTACCCGACTGGTATTAGCGCGTGCCTTCGAGCGTCGGGCGAGTTATTGAATCCAAGGCCTCAATTTATTTGTGGTTATAATATTAACATATTATTTTTGACATTATAACTCTTAAAAACTCTTAATGATTTTTCACCCTTAAATTGAAATTCCATGTTTAAGACAAAAAAATAAATTACTATTAATGAATAATTTTTAGTATTATTGTGAATTATTAATAATAAAAAAATTTTTATTATTTTAAAAAATAGTTAAATTATAAATAATAGAGAATAAATAATTAAATTAATAATTTTTACCATATTATTATGATAAACATATTAATTTATATATATATATAACATACATTTTTAATAATTTTTCTATAAATAAATATGATACAGTCAATTTATTATGATAACACTGTATATAACGGTCCCATGATTCAAAAGGAAGTTTAAGCGAGGTCGCTTCCAAGCTTGCGTGGCTATGCGGTATGTGTATTCGACTTGCGTCCTCGAGGTCTAGGGTTCGATCCCCCGTGCGTGCAATATTTTTCCGTCTTAGTTTTAAGTGTTTTGTGTATAATTCTTAATAATGTTACATAAAGTATAGGTTTAAATAATTATTAACAATAATAATAATAAATTAGGCATTAATTTAAATAAGATAGTATGTCTAAATTAATGAAAGAAAATAAGAAAAATATTTTTTTAA